TATTATTTAGCAATAGTGAGGCAAAAAAATTCTTTTTGAGCCCAAGTAGGATGCTCAAATCAACATCAGTAGTATCACAGCGACAGCGAATATTCTTAATGATCACATTCTTTTCCAAGCCAAATGAAGTTTCAGGTATCTTGGCTGCCAAATGAATGGGTCAAAATTTCGGTTATCCTAATAAGTGGCACGATCTGAAAAGTGTTTTGCTGACTTTACGAATTGGAACAATATTTTATGCCTTTAAAAAATATACTTTTCATACTACTACCACGTATACTCATAATAAGGACCGAGTTTGTGTGGCCTAAACATTTGGTAATGAGTATTCAGTCAGGAGTTGTCTCTTGTGGTCCACTTACCCTGGTCGATTGTTGTTCCATTTGCTCTACTACTACATGCTCTTCGTCCAAACTGGCGACTTTAACATCGCTAAGCAGCGAGTATGAAGTATCGCGCAGCAAAGTGGCCAAGGCTGGCGCCGGCTCCGACATACGAGAGTGAGATGCATAGATAGAAAACTGCAATTCAATGCGAAATATATATAAAAAATAGGTAAATTTAGATGAGTATGCTCATAAATAACATGTATTTTACAGAATGATTTGTTCGTTAAATAATCATACAACTTTGCCAGATCTCTATCTTAGGACAAGACGAACTTTATCCATATTAAAAATAGCAAAAAAAAGACACAAGGCACTTATAACACTTTTAAATGGAGTTGTCATAGTGGAAATTTAAATACGTTTTTTCTAAGGCCAACATTGGACTATTGTGTGAATTAAAGTTACTGTCACTACGCCCACAAATTTTTACATTCCTGCTCTCCTTAAATTTGCAATTTTCTAGAGCTATGGAATTATTTCATTATTCAATCCTATACGGAAAGCCACCTTTTGTGCTCAAATTTTCAGTATAAAATTGCATATAACTCTTTGTAAAACAATTCACTCCTTTGCACAAGGATGATGCTTTCACTTCCCCGGCGTTGATTATTTTACTGCTACTTCTGAGATGGTGGACTATGCTGCAAGCAGAAGAGGATCGAATTAGCCATAATAAGAAGGATTACTAATAATATTAACAGTAATAATAAAAGTAATAGATAAAAATTGGTATCTATTTCCATTTATGGTCTTATGTCTACATTGACTTTCATAGACTAGGATTGTTCCCAAGTAGAAAAGTTTGGTTATAGACAGTCTCAACTAAAGGGTATCTAAAATAAATAAATAAATCATGATGACTCATATACAATGGATGCAATTTCCACTTTTAGTAGTAGTAGTAGACTGCATAAGCGGCTTATAGGCAAGAGAAAAGGTGTAACATATTGACGTAAAATAAAAAATATAGAATTTGGAGGTTATCTGATATTTTTGTCATGCAATTTAGTTAGGCCCAATAAAATTGTAAGACATGCCGCTGGGAATGGTCTAGAGCAACGTATAAAGCAGTCTCTTAACCGATGATGTGATATACAAACGTAATAGAGATACAGGCCAACTTTCAACCATTTCATTGGCTTAAAACTTCAAAGTTTTGCCTTCAGCTCTTCCGTCTTCTAGCAACTAAAAGACGGGTTACTGGATATCATTATTTACTATTGCTTGTGATGAAATAAAATTACATCCGACCAAGTTTTTCCTTAACCTCACAAAAATTATACATTCAGAAGTATAAAATTCTTACGGCGTAAATTTTGTCGGGTAGCAGGCCTTGAACTGTTACCTCTTTTCGACCATGGTCAACTCTAATGGGCAGTTGCCAGAGCCCGGGAATGTTAGAGATTAGGGAAGCACCAGATTCGACCAGGTGATTAAAAGATTCTGAGTTTTGCTGTTCTGCAAGAATGGCGTCAACAAGGAGAGGGATTCTGACAAAAGAAGGCAGCGTCATAGGAAATGCTGTACTTGTATCTGCGGAACTTGCGTTATCAGGGCGATATTTCTGCCAGTATTTGGGCAGTTGGAGAAAGACAATGGTAAAAGAAACTTGCTCCTCAATCTGCGTATTGTTTTCCAAATGCCGTTCGAGAAACTCGGTCGGGGAGTAAGACCACAGTATATGAAGACGTTTGGGTGACTAAAATATTTGAAAATAATAACCAATTAATTACAGTATGTCAATCGAGCATAATTAGTTCGACAACTAAATAAATAATGTATAAGAATTAAAGAAACTATCTATGATACCACTTTGTTTTTCAGTTATTAGGTGGAAAATTGTTATTGAAAATAATCTGGAGGATCTAAATATATGAAAGTCTATTGTCATACCCTCGGCTTTATGGAGAGGATTTCTGGTTTGACAGGGAGGAGGTGGAGAAAGTCAACTGAATCTGACCAAGGGCTCAGAATTTGCCTTGCTCCTTTGCTATCGCGCCTGCATATTCTGAAACTGAATATTGTAAAGTGTGGATGTGATTAAGTGAATTATTTGAGAAGCTGAGCAAATCGCTTTAAGTACGATAGGTGAGATGAAATAATGTTACCTATATTCTTTTCCAGGTGATAGGATTTCTTCGTCCCAGATAACTATATCCTGTTTGTATGTTTCCTCATTTAGTTGATATGGCCTAGACCATCCCTGAGGATCAGCTCGAAGAAATCTGCGAACTCGATTAGAAGTGGAATAGAGATCAGGTGAGATTTTATCAGCCGAGACGGATCTAAATGATTGGTGCATTTGAAGAATTTGCTTCTGATCCATAGCAATCAGAGATCGTTTGTGAAAGAGTTTGCTTTCATACTCTCTTGGAATTCGTTCACGAAATTCGAGGCTAAACTGTACATTTCCCAGTTGAATTGCCGCGGCTAAGGCGTTGGGGAACCTTTGCAAAGAATTCACCGGTTTCCAAAAAAGGTGTATCGCAGGCAAAAATTTGGCTAACAACTTGATCACCGGGGTGCTAAGAGGAAAGTCTGTAGGAATAGAGATTCACACAAATTGGAGTAAGGGAAAATATAGGTCAATTGTGAAATTTAATTGTAAATAATTTTGTTGAGTTGAGGCTTAGCTTGGACTAGAACGGAAAAAAGCAGAACAAAATATTTTATTACACCAACCAGCCAAAAATCATATTCAACTCTAAAATGGAATACTAATTTTCGTTTGACCTGATTTAACGCAAAATTCATTAAGTCGCTGCTCCTCGGTATAATAAATAAAATGTTCAATATTACTATAATGATTAAATTCTGAGTTCCAAAAAATCACTAAATAATTACATTTCAATGGGCCATCTATATTACAATAACCTTTGGACAGAGCAATATGAAATCGAAGGGATGTTACCTAGGAGGTGCGATAGTCTAGATTGCACAAAGCCATCTGCCATTATTTAGCAAAATTGAGCGAATTATAGGCTGAACTCTTGTTTGTTATATGTTAAAAGCTCAAAAAAGCTAACTTGGGATCATAGGTTGTACTAAGAACTGATATCCTCAAATAGACATTTGGTTTCCTATGAGGCTAATTTACAGATGCCTTCT